AATATAACATTTCCAATACCAAAGAGAAATTTTACAAAATAAAAAAGCAAAAACATAATGCAGAGAAATGAGCAAGTAAAAACAATGTATGTAGCAATATGATTAAATCATATGACATGTGTATGTCATATTGGTAAATGTAAATGGGCTAAACTCACGTATTAAAAGGAAAAAACATTTTAATTTTGATTCACAAAACACACACCAATGATAAGAGATGCACCTAAAATGTGCAGACAGTCACTGCCCCGAAAAAGACCCACAGGCGGCCGACGGGGTGAGAGAAGGCACTGGACACCACAGGCCGTTTGGAAAATTCAGATGCAAACCACAGGGAGACCCCACCACGTGGCTCCAAAGTGGCTGGAAATGAAACTCGGGAACCCACAGAATGGAAACAGGTGAAGTCAGATCTCTCACGCACTGCTGTGGGAATGTCAAATGGGCCCACCCCCTGGAAAATCATCTGATCTGACAATGCTTTAAAAACTAACTATACAGCCCTGGCCAGGTGGCTCAGTTGGTTGGGGCATTGTCCTGTGCATCAAAAAGTTGCAGGTTCGATTCTCAGTCAGGGCAAATGCCACACCCCAGTGGGTTGTGGGTCTGATCCCTGGTCGGGGCATGGACAGGAAGTAACCAATGCATGTCTCTCTCTCTCTCTCTCTCTCTCAAATCATGAGCATAACCTTGGGTAAGAATTAAAAATGTAAAAACTAACTTCACACACTACCTTTTGACTCAGTAATTTCACCCCAAGGAGAATTGGAACCTACATTCAAAACCTGTCTGTGAATATCACAGTAACTACTCAATTACCACAACTGCCCCGAACAGCGAACAACCCCAAGGACCATCAGAGGACGAGTCACCAAACGGAGGTGGTGTCCCCGTGTGGCCCGTGGTGCAGACTGCGGAACGTGCCTGAAATGACCCGATGGATCGGCAGGCGCCCTGGTGAGTGCAGAAAGCCGATTCCAAAAGGTCACCGCTATCATATGATTCTGCCAACATGATACTTTCGTAATGATGGAGTTTCGTAATCCTGGAGGACTGGTGGTTGAGGGGTTCAGGAGGGAAGGGGAATGGGAGGGAGGGGTGTGGGTGGGCGTGGACGTAGCATGAGCGGGCAGCAGGAGGGACCCCTGTGGGCCTGGGTCACCGGTGCCATATCCTGGTGGTGATACGGTACCACAGGTTCTTCTAGAACTTACTATCGGAAGTGTCTAAGTTAAGGATATGTGAGATCTATCTGTGTCATTTCTTACGCGGTTCTACAATTACCTTGAAAGAAGTTTAATTTAAAAATTTTAAGTGAAAACTAGAAATATCTAGAAAAGAATCAAGGTGAAGTTTACCCGTTGGGAGATAGAAGAGAAGCTCCTGAAGATTCCTAATTCTGACTCTGGAACATCTGAAAGCCCTTTGCCAAACGTAAACTACAAAAGTAAGCTAAAAACACAGTCACAGCATATATATCCGAACTGATTCTTTTAAATGTAAAGAGAGTTCCCCAAAATAGGAAAAGTTCACATCCCTCAGTAGAATGACACAGGCAAAGGATATGAATAGCAAGTGTATGAAATAAGAAATGCGAATCTCCAGCACTTACAGAAGAGAGTTTAATCTCAGCGGCATTAGCTGAGCAAAATGCAGGTCTATTGTTAGCCTCCCAGAGGGAGCAGGGGTGGGGACAATGTCAGCAGTAGTTGTCCTTGAGGTTCAGGGACATGAGGGGACAGCGTGTCTGGATGCTCAACCTGTATTGAGGTTTGGGGTTTTTTTTAAAGATGCTATTTATTTATTTTTAGAGAGAGAGGAAAGGAGGGAGAAAGACAGGGAGAGAAACATCAATGTGTGGTTGCCTCTTGCGCGCCCCCTACTGGAGACTAGTCCTGCAACCCAGGCATGTGCCCTGACTGGGAATCGAACTGGCAACCCTTTGGTTCGCAGGCTGGCACTCAATCCACTGAGCCACACCAGCCAGAGTTGTATCAGGGTTCTTATGACATTGTTCCCACGACCAGGAATTCTATGTCAGGAAATGTACCTTCAGTTGTCAAGTGAAACAACCACTTGGCAAGTACACAACTGTCTAACCCCTTCTCTGTATATCCGAAACTAATACAGAATAATACTGAATATCAACTATAACTAAAAAACTAAAAGACTTTTTAAAAGAGTGAAAAAAGCTTTATCTGTATAGATATTCAACACAACATTGGTTATGATAACAATGAATATGAAACAATGTAAATAAATGCTCAACAAAGCTAAAGTAGCAATATTTCCACATGTCAGAGTTATAAATGTATTCTATTTTGGAGGAGTAATTAGTGGACTAGTAAAATGCTCACAAGTATTAGGAAAAATAAAAGGCAGGCTACAGAGTGATTAAAACATTTTGTTAACAGCCCTGACCAGTGTGGCTCAGTGGGTTGGGCATAGTCCTGCGAATCCAAGGGTCACAGGTTCTATTCTCAGTCAGGGCATGTGCCTGGGTTACTGGTTCAGTCCCCAGTTGGGGTGGGTACAAGAGGCAACTAATCAATGTTTCTCTCTAACATCAATATCTGTCTCCCTCTCTTCCTCCCTCCCTTCCCTTCTCTCTAAAAATAAACGAATAAAATCTTTTTAAAAATTTTGTTAACAAATATATTTGTATCATCTGACAGGGAGGGAAATATAAGAAAACAGATCATATTATGGTCAGTGGTCATTTCTGGGGAGAAAAGTTATGAGTTACCTTTATACTTTATCTTTTACATAGATCATGGAAAGCCACCTTCTACGGAAAGAAATTTTTAAAGGCGGTAAAAGTCACCTTAGTACGATATCAATGCTAAGAACCTCGTGCAATAAGCGCCCCAGGACAACTCAATGGCCATTCGATGGGACAACTGCTCTGATGTCTGAGCGGCTGGGACCTGACGAGAAGAATGGCCACGGCTTGAAGCAGAAATGGAGCCAGGCCGAAATTAAACATGGGGCTTCACCATGAACCATGGAGACACTTTCTCTCCATTTAAATAGAGATACGTGATTCACCCAACTGGCGTGCCTCAGTGGGTTGGACACCATCCCCCAAAGCAAAGGGTCACTGGTTCGATTCCCAGTCAGGGCACATGCCTGGGTTGTGGGCCAGGCCCCCAGGTGGGAGCATGTGTGAGACTCAACCCATCAATCTTTCTCTCTCTCCCTCCCTTCCTCTCTCTCTAAAAATAAATAAAATCTTAAAACCAAAAGAACTATGTGATTCCTTAGGCCTGGTGAGGAGCTGTTGAGGAAGCCCTCTGGTAGTCCAGCCCCAAGCTTTCTGAGGCCGCCAAGTCACTGAGACCCGCCCCATCTCTGACACCATCTCTGGTCACACTGACCCGCATGCGTCACAAAAACGTGAGTCCACCAGAGAAGTTCACAGCGCATGTGCGCCACCTACTGGGTTCACACCGACAGCGCATGCGCACCACCCATTGGGTTCGCGCCCATAGAGCATGCGCACCATTCACGGCCCTTGCACCCTGCACCTGGCGCATGTTCCCCATGGCAGGACACTGGCCTTTCCCCCCAAGCAGACATCCTGGCACTTACTCCCAGAGACCAGCCATTGCTGCTCAATGGCCGTGAGGGTCTCGTGTCTGGAGTCCAGTCCGTGGCTAGCAGCAGTTGGTGGGGGGGGGGGGGACACTGTGTTGTAGATGACACCAGGGTCACTGGGGTGACAGCCCCCCACTGTGCAGAAAGTGGGCCCCTGGACAATGGGGAAGTCTGGAATTACTGGGGTAAAGGCTGCCTCTACAGGTCTCTGAACCCCCCGTTCTTGGAGGTGCTCTGGGCCTGGACCCTCCCTGAGTCTGGGGCAGACACGAGGTGATGGCAGGGTTTGGGCCATCCTGGTGCCCCGACATTTGCTGCAGGAAGGCTGTGCTCAGGAGAGAATTCTCCTTACGTGACAGCATCGTTGCTTTTACACTCAGCAGAGGCCCAGAGTGTAAACGGGAAGTTGGTTGAGTGTTAAGTTCTGGACCCTGTCCCTTAACGTCAGGCCGACAGTGAGCCCCAAGTCCCCCAGGAGTGTCATTCAAACCAACATCCTGGCAAAACTACCTCTCATTGCTCAGGACCAGACACCACTGGCACAGTAAGTCTGCAGGAGGCAGGGATGGAGGCCAGCCCTCACCGGGCATGGCAGCCAGGGCTCTGTCCCCAAACCTGGGCCCGGCAAGCAGAGCCCAGCAGAGCCCTCCGTGGACCACAGGTGGTCCCCCTCAGCCAGCGCTGGCGTCACAGATCTTTAGCAGACCCCCATCCCTGCAAGCCCCCACCCGGAGCCACAGCTCTGAGCTGTCCTCCTGACAGGTGCCCGGGCAGACCCGGGGCCCTTTCCAGCGGGGGCCTTTGCACTGGACAGTCCAGAATCGGGGTGTCGGACTCTCATGAGGCACCCTTGTCATGAACAACCAAGGCATAAGTCCTCACGGGGATTTTCGAGAAAACAGCGATCTGAAATGGCCCGGCACGCGCGGCTCTTCAGACTCCCCCCGCGTTCATCAGAACGCCTGAGTCAGCCTCTGTGTTGGGAAGCAAATCCCAGCCATACATTTTTTATGTGTTTTTCTCTGAGCTAACCTCAGCTACACCAAAGACTCTGTAATCACTGCAAACACACCTATCCTAGTATTTACGAGATGCATTGCCCTTTTTTTTTAAATTTAGTAAGCTTAGAGACTTTTGAAATAGAAACAGAAATTTAAAATAAGGTTTGAGCCAAGCTGGGTGGCTCGGTGGGTTGGAGAGTCATCCCATAAACCAAAAGGCTGCGGGTTCAGTCCGTGGTCAGGGCACGTGCCTGCACTGCAGGTTCAGTCCCCGGTTGGGGCACGTACCAGAGGCAACCACTCGGTGTTTCTCACATCAATGCTTCTCTCTCGGCCACCCCCTTCTCTCGCTCTAAAACCAATATGTGTATCCTCAGGTGAGAAAAATAGGCTTGAGAATACCTGAAAAACTCCATGAAAGAGAAGCCGTAGCCATGCTGCTCCGCGATTCCTGCGCAAACAACGTTGGCTGATGCCCCCATCAGAGTCCCATTACCTGCAACCAAAATTTAAAAGTAGAGTTAGCCCTGGCTGGAGTGGCTCAGTGGATTGAGTGCCGGCCTGCAAACCAATGGGTCACCAGTTCGATTCCCAGTCAGGGCACATGCCCGGGTTGTGGCCCAGGTCCCCAGTAGGGGGCGTGTGAGAGGAAACCACACATTGACATTTCTTTCCCTCTTTTTCCCTCCCTTCCCCTCTCTCAAAAAAACAAAATATTTTTAAAGAAATTAAAAATAAGATGAAATCAAGCCCTGGCTTACTGTGGTGGGAAGCTTCTGTCCCCTTTTGTTCTGGAATATTCAGACCACCGCACAGGCTTTTGACTATTTCACAGGCGTGATCAAAGTGATTCTTTTGCAAATGTCTGGAAAACAATCCACCAGTGACCCCCCAAATCTGTTCACTGCTTATAAACACTGCTGTTCCTTTGTGCACAGGACTATGGCTATTGTAGGTGATGGAAAAGATCACAGGAGAATGAACAAGTGGCAGTGAGTGCGGTGGCCATGACCTTCTACAGAAAAATGGAGTAGAGACGTGTATGGACGTGAACAGGAGGGGACGGGGTCTCAGCTGAGCAGCACGTGCCTCCAACCCCCTGGCAGGAACCCCTCTCTGTGGATGGAGGGTGGGGGCTGGCATCTGGGTGAATCACGTGACCCCCGGGTGGGCCTGTTTTGACAGCACACGTGATCTTCAGTGTGAGACACATGTACACACACAGACGCATGCATGGTGCAGGGGTGGGGGGCCAGGGGGACGGAGGCCGGGCCCAGTCACAGCGGCCAGAGCGGGGAAGGGTGGGTTTGCTTGGTGAAGGTCGGCAGCACCTTCTATCACCCGGTCCCAGAGGCCAGGGCCCGGGGATGGACAGGCCACCCAGACTTGGCCAGCCTACACAGCTCTGAGGTGTGTGCGTGACCGCCGAGTGTGTGAGCACGAGTGACCGCGAGATGCACGTCTGCAGCTGCGCACAGCACAGAGGGAGGGGCCCGGCAGAGACTGGACGGTGTGTGGAATCCGCAACCTCAGAGCAGCGCTTGTCGGGCTTGTGCACGACGCGGATGCCACGGAAGAAGCCAGGAGCTGGGCGGGGCTGCGAGGACAGGACTCTGGGGACGTCCCTCATTCACGCATCCCCAGGCACGTAGCGCCCACCCTGCATTACCTGGGTTACCTGCGTGGGCCCAACCGAATCACATGAATGCTTAGAAGCAGAGAACTTTCTCCACCTAGAAGCACAAGGGAACCTCAGAGGGAGGAGACAGACCCCGGGCGGGGTGGGGTGCGGTGGGGTAGGAGGCATCCCGGGGAATGAGAGATATCCGGGGAAGGGTCGGACAGTCGAAGGGAGGACCGAGCAGGTGGCGATGCACCGTGGGTGTGGCCGCAGCGGCCCCACGCAGCCTCCCCCGGTGCTGCCACACAATGTACCCGCTGTCACCCCGACCTGGGCACTGAGATCTCACTCCCTTGCCCGTCCATCCTGCTGGGCACTGTCACCCCATCCGACAAGAACCTTGGGGACAGAGGGCTGGCAGGAGGCCCAGCCCTCCTGTCACACGTGGTTTCTCGGCCACATCTAAGGCAGGACGCATGGGGGGCAACGGCTACGTCAGGAGGCTCCCGACCGATGGGTCACGGAGACGAGCCAGCAGGTGAGCCCCACACGCACTGGGAACACAGCGCACCCGCCAGTGCAGAGGGCAGAACCGCGGCTTCAGATTCAGGAGACACGGAGCAAAGTCTCCAATCTGCTGAGCCGTGAGCAAATCGCTGACCACTTCCATTACATTAAATGTTCTTTCTTTTCAGTCCTCACCTGAGGATATGTTTACTCATTTGAGAGAGAGGAACATCGATTGGTTGCCACCCGTGCATGCCCCTGACTAAAGAAATCGACCTCACAGGGAGCAACACTCCAGCCACGCGAGCCACCCGCCGGGCAAGAGCTGTTTGGCTACGAGGAGAAGATGCAGAATGAGACAGTGCCGGCAGCAGGGCGGGTTCATCTCCTATGATAGGCGGGCAGCGCTGTTACAGGCTGCAGCCTCGGGGGTGTCACCCAGAACCGCTGTCTCCACTGCACACTCTGCCCCTCAGTGACACTCGGTGTCAGAACTGGCTCCAGGCATCTGGGCACCAGGTGGCCGTGACCCATTCGGGGAGACAGCAGCCGGCCCGGCCCATCCTGGGCCCTGCCCCCAGGAGACACCCACCGACTCTCCCTCTGAATGGCTGTGACCTGCCCACCCCCATGTCTGTCCCTGCAAGTGGCAGGTGTCCACCTGCCTGTCCCTGTGCCATCGTCAGCAGGGAGATGTTGGCCACATCTGTGTGACGTGAGAGCAGTCGCCACCTTTCCTGCTGGGTGCACGAAAGACAAAGAACATGAGAGTCCATTCAGAATGTCCACGGTGATGTCAGCGGTTTAATAAGCTGTTAACGGGCTTTAAAGGCATCTTATGAATTAAAGATGCATGGGTTTGCCCTGGCCAGTGTGGCTCAGCTGGTTGGAGCATTGTCCTGTAACCAAAAGCTTACAGGTTCGATACTCAGTCCAGGCATATAGAAGAAGCAACCAATTGATATTACTGTCTCTCACTTCCTCTCTCTCTAAAACCAAAGGAAAAATGTCTTTGGGTGAAGATTTTAAAAAAATGCATGATTTCACTGATGGGCTCCATGTGGTGGGGACAGAGCAATCCTAGGTGGCAGCACTCAGGCTAAAGCCACCTTTCCACCTGCCGTCAACAGAAGGCACAAGGGGGCGGGGTGCACGTGCGGGGCTGCTGCCAGCCGGGCACGCCCAGTGCCCTTCGTGGAGAGGTGCCGGGTGCGCGTCTACAGGCATGACCAATCATCCTTCCAGACTGCGCCCCGCCTTCTGCTCGGTGGTCTGCAGAGAATCCCCCATGGAACGCCAGGCGTGCACGCCAGTGAAGGTTTTCCACTGGCCAGAAAACATAAAATTAGTTCTCCGTGCTGGCGTTCCCCTTGGCACACCAGAGGGCCAGCCGTCACACGGAGATGTGAGCGTTCACGCAGCCGGCGGGCGGCCCGTGCTCCCCAGGTAACTGGCCAGGACGCCGCGCCCACCGGGGCCTCCAGCGGTCTTTTTACTTGCTCTCTGTGCCTTGCCCGTAGATATTTAAATTCACTTTGGCTTGTTTTTAGCCAATTAATACATGGATATGGCAAGAAATAAAATGCAAGCGCTCGATGGTCAAGGGCACCAACAACCACAATGGGCCTGTGAGTCACCGAGGTTTCAGGGTTGGACGTAGGCTCACCTCCCGGGGAAAGCAGTCAGCAGCAGGCGCAATACTCCAATGACCCCGGGCACTGCCAACGCCACGCCTGAGGGGCCAAGACGGGTGCCAGGGCCGACGTCCAATCACGTCTCATTTCTCACGTTCCATCACCTGCTTGAGATCCCGTCACATTTTAATTTCCTTCTTAGTTAGACCATGACACGGTTGTAGCCTGTTTTGCTAAACCTCGGACTTCTAATTCACTGGTTTTCCAAATAAAGAGAGCTCAGGAGAAGAGAAGCTGGACTGGGCTGCTGGAGTTAGATTCCCAGGTCCGGGGTTTACTGGATCTGAGACACAGGGCAAGTTTCTAAGGCTCCTTTGAGTCCCAAAAGTCCACGAGACCTCAGGAGACGCATAGGCACCCATTCGCTGCTTCTGCTCTGGAAAACTGGCTTCTATTATTTCTTCAATGAATTCCCCCCTTGCACTTCATTCGGTCCCGTCTGAGATTTCTCTAGTAGCTGAATATTGGGTTTCTCATATTGGACTTTTGCACATATTATTTTTCCCCTGAATTTTCTTCTTTGACTGTGGCCTCAGGACTTGAAGATGTTTCCTTGACTCTCCTTCCCAGTACTCCTGCCTACCTGCAGGCATTGACCTAGTTTGGTGATTATGAGTGTACTCAGTGTGAACGAGTCTCCCCCTGGCTTTTCCGTTTTTATTACTTTAATTAACCCATCATTTTGAGGTGACTGACATTCACACGAAGTTGTAGGAATAATATGAACAGAGCCTGGGTACCGTTTACCCAGCATCCCTCGGTGCTGATGCAGTGCAGCATCCCAGTCATGACCCCGACCTGGAGGCAGACGAGACGCACAGCGGTCTCCTCCCCCACGCCCTTCCACCCCCACCATGCACTGACCCCTGGTAATTACTAACCTTTCTATCACTTTGTCATTTCAACAACATTATATAAATAGAATTATTCACTGTGTGATCTTTGGGTTTGCCTTTATTCACCTCACATAATCCTCTGGAGATCCAACATGCCAGTCACATGGATCAACGGTTCATTGGCGTTGAGCTAAGTAGCACTTCCTGGCACAAACATGCCATAGTCTGTTTCAACATTCACAGTCGAGGGACATCAGGTTTGTTTCTAATTTTTGGCTACTGTACATAAAGCTTCTAGAAACATCATGTACAGGTTTGGGGGTGAACGGAAGTTCTCTTTTCTTGAGAACAAATGCCAAAGAGTGTAGCTTTAGTTTTTAAGACAGTTCTAAACTGGTTTCTGGTGTGACGCCAACTACCCCAACGACGATGTCTCAGTGACCCAGTCTCTCCACATCATCACCAGCACTCAGCAATGTCACTATTTTTTTATTTTAATTCTCTAATTTTAAATCTGAGCCATTGTTATAGGTGTGTGATGACACTGTACTGTGGCTTTAATGTGCAATGCTGGATGGCTGAGAATATTGAACATCTCATTTACTTACTTGCCATTTATGTACCCACCTATCCATAAAATTTTAGAACGCTTGTGTTCATATGTACAAAAGACTTGACGAGGTTTTGGTAGGGATCACGTTAAACCTAAATATTAATTTGGAGACAACTGATATTTTTACTATAGTAAGTCTTTCAATCTATGAACATGGTATGTCTCACCATTTATTTGGGGTCTTCATTGATTTCTTTTATCAGCATTTTGTAATTACAGCTTCAGGTTTTAATTTGTGGAGAAATCATAAATAGTATTGTACATTTAATTGTAGCATCTGTGTGTTCATCACTAAAATTGACTGTTGTGTTATTTATCTTATAACCATGACCTTGCTGAACTCATATATCCGTTATATGATTTCCTGTTTGTTTGTTTTATTTCTCTAATAGATTGCTTGGAATCTACAGAAACAATCATGTCCTCTGCAGTAGAAACAGTTCTACTTCCTCCTTTCCAATCTGTATGCCTTTTATTTACTTTTCTTGCCTTATTGCACTGGCCAGACCTTCCAGCACTATGTTAAAAGAGAGAGGTGAGAGCAGACATCCTTGCTTTGTTTCTAATTATAGGGAGCAAACATTCGGTCCTTCAACCAATAAGTATGACATTCACTACAGCTATTTTTGCAGATGCTCCTTATTAATGTAATGGTGTCCTGGACATTTTTTTGTAAAGAACTGTAGAGACCAATGCTAATACACACACACACACACACACACACACACTCACACTGAAAAGGGCATCGCCCTCTGTGCAAGGTTCTCTGTTCAGAATGTGGACCCAATGTAATCTGTGGCTAAGCTAGACCTGGCTTCACTGCATCTCAAGTTCAGTGCAATTTGTCTCTAGCTGCAGATGTTTTGAGAATGGGATCAGGAGTTTCTCCAAATCAGACACAACAGAAAAGGGGCATGCTGGAGTTTCCGGGCTGTATAGCCAAGCCCTGCGTATTCTGAACCAGAAGAGCCTCTTGATTTGACAGCCTATTGATGGCTGAAGATTCTCTGTGTGGGCGGGGCTTTCTGCCCATCAAAGGTGCTCTCCCCCACCCCCACTGCAGTGCAGTGTGCGGAAATCCAACCCAGCTCTTCCTCCCCTGCTTCTGCAGCAAACCGAGCTTCGCTGCACACTCAGCAAAGGCACTGAGAGGCTGCATTCATCTGTCCCACCTCACCTCGCTGTCCCACCTCTGTCCCACCTCGCTGGACAGCGCTCATGTTCTCCTCTCCCCACGCAGGAGCTTGTCACTTTCTGCACTTCACGTCACGTGGGTCTCTGTGCATCTTCACAATTCTAATGGTGCTTTTTTAAGGATTTTACTTATTTGTCTTTAGAGGGGAAGGGAAGGAGAGAGGGAGAGAAATATTGATATATGGTTGCCTCTCATGCGTCCTCTACTGGGAACTGGTCTGCGACCCAGGCATGAGCCCTGACTGGGAATCAAACCACAATCCTTTGGTTTGCGGCCCACACTCAATCCACTGAGCTACACCAGCCAGGGCTGATGGTTTTTTTAAACTATGATTTTTGTAGCTCCTGTTGCTTATTTTGTTTGTTCTCTGTGATGTTGAGAACAACGGACCCTTGAAACCTTATCCTTCCCAACTGGAGTATGAAGCCCCTTGCAGCAAACCTGACCAATGAGAGATGGGAGACGGCAGGGAATGAATGGAAGACAGATAATTCTGTCCTCCTCCATCTGCTTCAAGACACGGCGCTTCTACAGAACCCACCCGGAGAGGCCCCACCGGATGAAGCTGGCACCATGTACAGTCACGCCTCGGTGCTCGTCAGCTTCAGAACTCGTCAAACCCTGTACTTATCACATTTGGACCAGAAAGAAATGTTTCGGGACTCGGCACACTTGCTAGAACTTGTACGAGTCATGGCACCGCCCGAAAGAGAAAACGCTTCATCGCTCATCGCTTGCTTGGTGCTTCTCTGGCGTCGGCACTCCTCACGAGGGCCAGAATGAATGAACGACCAAGGAACCTCGGCGTTTGTTTTCTCTCCTCCGTCTCACCTCAGAGGGAGTTTCTGCCCTCTGTCTTCCCGTCCCACCATCGCGTCTCCCGGAAAAAGCATCCGCAGGCAAACTTGACTCCACCTCTGCCTTCTAGGAAACCCAGGGAGGCAGTGTTGCCTTAAGACTCATTTGTTCTTAGCTCTTAATAAAAAGAACAACCAAAAGGTATTGGATCCAGACAAGGGAAGATTTTTGTTTGTTGTTGCAAACTGTCTAGTGTCTCATATAATTTACACAGCAAATGACACTTCTCCAACCAACTGACAAATTTCATTTAAAACAGTCATCAAAATGTCCAGCCCTGGGGGAAGAAGGAGTTATGGTGTAATGAGGAGAGTTTCAGCCGGGGATGATGGAAAGTTCTGGAGATGGATGGTGGTGATGGTTGCACAACACTGTGAATGCACTTACGGCCAGTGAACTGTACACTTGAAATTGGTTAAAACCACCTGGCCAGGTGACTCCGTTGGTTGGAGCATCATCTCATACACCAAAAGGTTGCAGGTTCAATTCCCAGTCAGGGCACATGCCTGGGTTGCTATTCCTTCCCCAGCTGGCGAGCGTATAAGAGGCAACCAATCAATGTTTCCTCTTTCACATTGGTGTTTCTCTCTCTCTCCCCCTTCCTCTCTCTAAAATCAATAATAATATCCTCAAGTGAGGATTAAGAAAATAAGTTAAAACCATTAACTCTATGCTACGTATATTTTTCCAAATTTTTTTTACGTATCAAACTCAGAGTCAGTGAAAGAGGCTCCTCAACAGAAGAAGTGCAGAGTTAACACCCAGTCAGGCTGGGCGTCTACTGGACCAGGAACAGGCACCATTCAACAACCAGTAGGGTTAAAATATCCCAAGTCTTGCCCTATCTGGTGTGGCTCAGTGGATTAAGCACCTGCCTGTAAACCAAAGGGTCGCCAGTTCGATTCCCAGTCAGGGCACATGCCTGTGTTGGGGGCCAGGTCCCCAGCAGGGGGAGCACACAAGGCAACCAAACATGGATGCTTCTCTCCCTGTCTTTCTCCCTCCTTTCCCCTCTGTCTAAACGTAAAGTAAATAAAATCTTTTTAAAAGTAAAATAAAATGTCCCAAGTCTTGACACCTTCACTGCTGGTTACAGCTATGCCCCTGCTTCCGAGAGGGGCTGGGTGAAGGAGTGTTCAGTTATATTTTAGGTTATTGACCACGTAAATGGTGCCTGTTGGCGTCGCTCCTTGGTCACCCCTCCGTGTTCACTCTCCAAGGTCAGGGGAATCCGGACCTGCCTGGGGGGCTCTCACCCTTCGAGACCCAGCTGCCCCCCCCCACACTGGGTCACACTCCTCTCGCAGCTCCACCAGTTCCCCTGAGCACCCTGTGTGGGTGCAAATAACCCTTTATTGCCATCTTAGCTTCGGTGACTGTCCCCACTCGTGAGCCCAAGGTCAGGTCACAGCAGAGGCTCCGTGAGGCTGAAGGAACAAAATCCCACGCAGGGGACACATTTCCACACGCCCCTGCATCACTTTCCTCCTGGGGACGTTAACTGTGGCTTTGAGCACACCCACTGCCTTCCCTGGGCTGGTTCTTGGGGGGAGGATAGGTCTGGCCCCTCACAAGCACATCGCTGCCTCCAGAAACCGTAGCAACTTCCCTGAAGGACAAAGCCCCCCCACGACGAACAAGGAGATGAACTCAACAGAGAGCTATCGATTTCACAGTCGGAAGTGAATCTCAGAACAAAGAAGGATGGACCACCTCAGCATGCCTGCGTGGGAGAATAAAAACTTAAAATGTACCTGGTGCATTAATCTGAGAGCGTCCGCAGCCCTTTCCTGCTCCCCCGGGTGACACGACCCTGGGTTTGGGAAGGGCGCCAGTGTGGGCCTCCCAGGACAATCGGAGGCAGAGCCCTGCCTCTGCCACCCGAGGCCAGTCCCTCCGGACTCTCTCTAGGCCACTTTCCAGTCCCCCCGAAGGGCAGCACCCTCCCCTGCAGAGAAAACCTTTCCTCCTTATTCCTAGGTCCATACCCCAGCCTCTCCGGCAGGCCATCACCACGCAGCTCCTTCAGGGGAGGTAAGAACCTGCAACTGAGGATGCCCTCTGACCCACAGTCGGTTTCTAAATATGAACCACGTGGGCTCGGAGGCAGCATGGGAGCCACGTGGGCCTGGGCGTGGCGTGGGAGCGGCATGGGCTCAGGTGCGCTGTGGAAAAACACTAACTTGGAGACATAAGCACTGATCGACCTCAGGCCGCGGGCTTAGGTGTCAGGGTGGCCCCCGCGAGGGGGGGCGGCTGCAGGGCTGCAGGTGGGTGTGTGCTCAGGCAGCCGCCACTCCCCTCACCGCCCTGGCTGGGGTGCGCCCCGGGCGTCCCCGCACCTCGCAGCGCAGCGGACCCCTCGGGCGCCCGCACCCCTTACCTCCCAGGCAGGTGCCGAAGGCCAGCGCGTACATCAGCGGCGGCGTGGGCAGGCCGACTTCGGGGTCCCGACTCAGGTTCAGGAGCACGGGGATCTGCAGAGGGAAAGGAGGTGACGTCACACCCGGGGTAGGCAAAGGACTGTCAAAATCCAAAGCACTTTTCTGCCATCAAACAGCAGGAGCACAGGATGTTTTGACCGAAAGCCAGGTGAGCTCTGGGGTCACACGGCCTGGGGTTGCAGCCATTGGTGCGTCTTTGCTTCTGGCCGCAGGACCCACCGACCCGCCCTCCTTCTCCTCCGCGGCCCACACTGCTGCTTCGGGCCCTAAAATGCGATCAGGTCAGGGAGAGCCTCACAGGACGCCTGGTACAGTAACCGCACAGCCAGCTGCCCATGGCACCTCCACACACAGCCAGTTCCGAGGCCCCTGCTTGCGCCTGCGCTGCTTCCCTGGTGCTGAAGCGCAAGCTTAGTAACATCTGTCTGGAACTTTCCATCGGGTTGCTCCCGATTTCCATGTTGAGGAAGCCGAGAAGCCCAACACTGGTGACAAAGAGACACATCCAACCAGCACCTGGGCCTGTGGATTGGCAGCGACAGCTGAGACCCAGGGAAGGGACCACGAAGGGAAGAGATCGGGTCTCAGGACAGGACTGTTGCCAGCAGCAAATAAGATCACAGGCAAAGGGCCCCGGCTGGTGTGGCTCAGTGGACTGAGTGTCAGCGTGCAAACCAAAAGGTCACCGGTTCAATTCCCAGTCAGGGCACATGCCTGAGTTGTGGGCCAGGTCCCCAAGGTGGTGGGGGAGGCAACCACACACTGATGTTTCTCTCCCTCTCTGTCTCCCTCCCATCCCCTCTCTCAAAAATAAATATAATAAAATACTTTTAAAAAATAAATTGAAGAAAAAAAGATAAAGCATAGGCAAAGACACAAGAGAGACACACTCCCAGCACCATGCTAAGGAAGGTGCCCCAAGTTCCACTCACAAAACACCGACTCACAGGCAGGCCTTGACAATGACTTTGACGATGCTGCAGTGGGGCTGCGCAGAGCACTGTGGGAACCCATAAGATAAGCAAGGCCGTGGGGGAATGGGGGGTACAGAACACATCGCAGAAAAGGTATTTACGGAGGCACTGACGGGGCCTTTGAGGAACTCCCACGTTTGAGGAACTCTAGTCCATGAGCTCTGGTTTCCCAAGGCAGAGCCCGAACCTTACCGTCCCCGCCTCCTTTGCAGCTAGAACAGCCCGTGACATGGGCTCCCACTGTCAGACACTCCTGAGCGAGGAGCAGCTTGGAGGGTCTAAAGAAGTGTGACCTGGAAGCCCACAGGGTGGAGTGACAGAGGCCCCAGCACTCAGAGGCCAGCATTGGCGGGTGCAAAGCAGCCCATGCAAAGCAGCACCCAGGGTGTCCTTCAGAAATCCCATGAACCGTGCGCCATCTTTACATAAACTCCTGTTCCCTTTTAAAGAGGGCTCTGTGGGTTGCAAGCGTTGCCTGGAATGTGGAGGCAGCTATGTGCCTTCCACACAGAATGATCTCCACTAACTTCTTAGAAATAAAATCAGCACCAGCCAAGCCAGTTCGGGGTGAGACTTTTTTAACTCTCAGCAAAGGATATGTTTATTGATTTTAGGGAGACAGGAAGGGGGAGAGAGATTGAGAGAGAAAGGTGAAAACATTGATATTAGAAACATAGATGGGTTTCCTGTGCATGCCCCTGTACATGCCCCAACCAAGGATCGAACCCACAACCTAGGTATGTGCCTTGACCAGGAATCAAGTCCATGACCTAATGGTGCCTGGGACAATGCCCCAACCAGCTGAGCCACCTGGCCAGGGCAGGGGATGGATGGGATTTATCGGTCCAAGAGAAGTCAGGAGATGACAGAGAAAAAAGTAATCAGCAAAGAAAAGGCATAATTAACGCAAAACCATAAAAAATAGTAGAAATAAACACTAGTGCACTTGTTAACACAAATTTCAATATATAAAACTAGTCTCTTAGATACAGATTACCTGCTTGGAATTTGAAAAACTGACTTGCCTGCTGCTTAAAAATTAAAAGGATTCCAAAAGAAAACAGTTTTCTCAGAAGGCTGCAAATAAAGCACTGGAGGAAGACGGACCAGACAGGGACTCAGAGTGGAGATGGAGGGAGACCGTAGGCAGCGTGACAGAGACCAGCCACCCGAAGAGACACGGGGAATGGGCCCCCGGGGCGAGTGGGAACGGGCCAGTCGATGCCGCGATGCGCCACGTCAGAACCATCGACTGGAGAGGCCACAGTGAGTCTGGACAGCGCCCAACGACACGCGTGGTTCCACGTGCATGTCTGGCCGGGGATAAACTCCGCTCCTTACACGCGGAGCTCACTGGCCACGTGCCAGGGGACATTCCCGGGGGTGCAGACCGGACCCGGCCACCGCAGCTGGAGGGGAAAGAGGCCACACAAAGACACCGTGTGGAAGGGGGAAAAGGGAGCGGGGCAGGGGCACGGACCTCGGCCCCGCCCAGTGTCCCTGTGCCGCCCGTGGCCCAGACCCCACACCTGGGTGCAGCCACACACCCACGTCCTGCCCGAGGTCACTCAGTGCCACTTCCAGGCTCGAGTGGAAACCCAGCTCCACGCTGTCCCCCCGACAGAGCCACACCGGCGCCACGTGCCAACCTGGGGAGGCCGGACCACTGACCTGTGGGGGTTCAGCTGCCCCCCTCACGTGAGGCTGCGGCTTTGGACTCAGCGTTTGGTTTCCGTCCATGGCGACACGTCATCCAAGACCCCTCCCCCCCCTTCCCCAGTGTGCCATCAAATGAGTGAGTGCGCCCCAAATCCGTGAGGGTGGCTCCCTCAGGACAGGGAGGGGCCCTGGGGATGGGGGAGGAACAGGAAAGGTTACAGTCACCTGTAATACTTTGTGTCACAAAAATAAAACAGACGAGACAACCTCAGGTCGAGGGGTCGATGCTGCAGCGTCGCCATTTGGGGTGGTCAGTGTACAGGCATCTGTTATACTAGCTGTGACTTCCCAGATTTATGTTTTAATTTTAAATTTTATGTTGCTATTCAAATTCAAGGAATGAAAATAGCAAAAGGGTCCTTCCTTTTCACCCCGGCCGGGTGGGTCAGTGGGTCGGAGTCTTGTCCCAGACACCAAAAGGCTGTGGGCTCGATCCCTGGTCAGGGCACACGCCTGGGTTGCAGGTTCAATCCCCGGTGGGGGCACGTACGGGAGGGAAGCGATCCATGCTTCTCTCTCACAAAGATATTTCTCTCTCTCTCTTTCTCCCCACTGGCCAACCTCCCTCCCTTCCTCTCTCACTAAAATCAATAAACATGTCTTCAGGCAAGGATTTTTTTTAATTTATAAAAGTGCCCGTTTTTAAGAAAATGGAGGATTCTAAACTGTCACAATAGGGACATGTCCTTCAGTCCCACAGAGGACCTTGTTCCCGAGACCTGGAAGCCCCGCCCCAGGAAGTGGGGCACATCCACTGTGAGCACCTGGGGCCACCAGGAAAAACAGGTGACAGTTGGCAACAGAGTCCTTGGGCTGTGACCACCCCGTGGGGCTGCTCTGAATCCAGATGCACGGGGCGCCCTGTAGACTCCATTTCCACCGAGAAGCGGACGCGCACAGTCCCCTCAGCAGGAGGCCCCAGCCACGTGGTCTGCCCGAGAGGGGCCACCGCCCGCCACCCGCCCTGCAGACCACAGTCCCGACCCGCTGAGCCAGGCCGGACTTTGGAGACCAGCCACGCACCTTCTTCTTTGCTCACCCGGAATTCATGGAAACACGCTGACGGCCACGGAGGAGCTCGGAATTGCTGGGCCCAACCCTGCAGCTAGGTGGCTGGAGGGCCGGCTGGGACCCGCTGTGATTCCTGGAGTCGTGCAGGTGACGCAGAGCCCCAGGTGACCCTGGGTCCTGTGACACGGCGAAGCGCAGCCGCAGAGGCCGGCCGCCCTGGGCTCAGCGCCCGGGTCTCTGCTCTGTGCCTTTGGGACCCGTGGTTCTGACTATGACATGAGGTGGTGGAATGTCATGGGAGCCCCTGCACAGAGTCCTGCAGGGGCTGGGCCCCCCGCGGCCCCCAGGTTCCTGCTCCCGCCTTTACTTTGTCCCATCGGGGCTCACAGTGCTGCCGTGAGCCCGGAGATCGACCATGTCAGAGGGCCCAGTGGGGACGGACGGGCTGTCCACTCGGTGAAGGCCTCTCGTGCGCACCCCAACATCAGTGGGGCCCAGAGCACGCAGACAAGCCACAGTCCCGTCCCTGCCACACCAGGAGCCAGTGGGCGGAGCACCAAGAGCACTACTTCCACATCCACGAGGAATAAAGGACAAATGCCTTCAGCCAGGCTCTGTCTCGGGTGCCCCCTGATACTCAAGAACAAAACGAAAAGCCGCGTTTTCCACGCCTCGGCAGCTGTCAGTGGGGTGGACCCACCACGCACAGCCTACCCGGCCGCTGCGGGCCCTGCCGTCTGCCCTCTGCGCCTGCGACGGCACAGCCAGCACCCAGGGCCCCGCCTCTGCCTCCTCCGCGGGAAAGGCGAGTCCGGACTGTCTCCGGGCTGCAAGCTGGGCTCCTGCTCCGGGGAGAGCAAGTGACTCACCATCGTAGTTGTGAACGGGATGTTGTCCATCAGGGAAGACGCGAGCGCCGAGACCCACACCACCAGCACGATGGCGGCAGCGAGGCGCTGGTCCTCGGGGACCATCTGGAAGGGGCAGACGCAGTATTAATCACACGCACTCGGGACACACGGCCCTCGTGCCCTGGCGTGCACGGCCGTCTGTCCCGCGTCGGACACACGGGAGGCCCAGGAGGGTCCGGGCATGTGCACAGGAGCAGCCCGCACCACCCCGACCCCACCAGGAGCCCGGCCGGGTCCCAGGGGTCACAAGTCAGCCAGCCGTGCACAGGGAGCCGGTGGCCCGGGGCCTGGTGGCGGCACACTGGTCGCACCGGTCACACCCACCTGCTGTCCCGGCACCAGGCCGCAGCTGGCACCTCTCACAGTCACTTACCAAGACTGCTGTCTGTCTGTCTTCGGTGTTAACCAAAGGCTAATAGCAAAATTACAGGCATCCGTCATTATATCTATTTTTTAAAAGGCTCCCTTCATCTCCAGGCTGCCCAGGATGAAAAAGGGCCCCGACTGGGCTTTTTACATAATTAATGTGACTTATTCTTGCCAGATTTTTTTTTTTAAACAGAATCAAAGGCCCAGTGGCCGGAGCACACTGTATCGCCGCACGTAACCTACCTTTATCAGCAAAATGGTCTGCTCGCCAAGGTACTCTACTAAGTGCAGATGTGCCAGCGCCTAGAAGAAATGGACGCAAGATGGGAACCGCTTTAAAGCTGCGAACACACACATGCAAACTCCAAAGAGCCAGCCTTTGAGATGGAAATAAGGGAACGGAAGGCAAGCCCGGGCTCCCTGACTTACAAAGACGATTTCTCTGACACTGGAAATCGTTCACCATCACACAGGCTCACTGAGGAATCACCAAGAAGCAAGTACAAGGATGTGATTTGTGCCCTGGTTGGTGTAGCTCAGTGGACTGAGCGCTGGCCTGTGAACCAAAGGGTCACCAGTTCGATGCCCAGTCAGGGCACATGCCTAGGCTCCGGGCCAGGACCCCGGTAGGGGGCATGCAAGAGGCAACTGGTCTGTTTCTCTCACACCCTGATCTTTCTCTCCTCTCTTTCTCCCTCCCTTTCCCTCTCTCTAAAAGTAAATAAATAAAGTCTTAGAAAAAAGACGTTATTTGTATTCACAGCCACCAGTGGAAGGCTGTCTCGCCTCTCACACCTCCACACTGATCTTCCACAGAAGGTGCACGTCACATTTCTTTCAAAGTTAAGCATTGCAGAGTTTTAGAAGAATAACAATAAAAAGAGGACACAGGGTTTATATAAGCATCAAAGAAAGGAAGGACGAGTCTATTTAACCGAAGCACTGGAGAGAGCCAGAAGATTGTGTCCAGAGAGAGGTGGGACGCAGGTGCCGTGTGCTCCAGCTGCAGCCTCATCCCAGCCCTGGGGTTGACGGGGTGGCTGTGCTGCCCAAGACGGGTCCTGGGCAGGGAACAGCACCAGGAGGCCACCAGCAGTGGATGACAGCTGCCCCACACGTCTCAAACGTGAGGTCATCATGCTGAACCTGACTATAAAAACTAAAACCGTCAGTGTGCCCACGTTTAAATAAAAGTTTGAAACTTCCGCATCTTCTGTAGAGTTGCTTGTTGGCCTTCCTTTAAAAGCTATGCAACCCAGGCCTGGCCTGTGTGGCTCAGCGGGCTGGGCATCATCCTGCAAACCAAAAGGTCGTGGGTTCGATTCCCGGTGAAGGCTCATGCCTGGCTTGCAGGTTCAGGGGAGAGTAAGAGAGGCAACTGATGTTTCTCTCTCACTTTCTCCCTCCCTTCCCGTCTCTCAAAAAAAGGAAGCAAAAAAGGAAACAGAAAAAGAACAGCTATGGAGCCCAGCAGCAGGAAAACTGTCAGGATGTCCCGCTAACTCTGTGTGACAGAGGCCACCAGACTTATCGTGGTGGTCGCACCATAAGGAATGTAAGCGTCAAATCGCTGTGGTGTGCACCTAAAACTAAGGTCATCTGGGACCTCAACTATACTTTAATAAGTAGTACTTTTTATTTCTTACATGTTTATTGATTTTAGTGAGAGAGGAAGGGTGAGGGAGATAAAGGGAGGAACATGGACTGGCAGCCTCTCATATGAGCCCCAACCAGGGATCGAACCCACAACTTAGCTATGTGCCCTGACTGGGGATCAAACCCCCAACCTTCCGGTGTAAGGGGCCATGTTCCAGTCCAACCAGGTGAGCCACCAGCCAGGGTAAAACAATGTTCTGAAACAGGGAAACAATTCAAATAAATGAGTAGATGAAGAAAGTCCAAGTGTGGCTCTTTGATCAGAATTCTGCTATTACAGCAACTAACTCCTCGGAGCAATCTACGCAGAGCAGGGCTCCTCGGTCTCAGTGCTGCTCATATTACAAACCCGATCATTGTCTACGGCCATACCACCCAGAACGCGCCCGATCTCGTCTGATCTCGGAAGCTAAGCAGGGTCAGGCCTGGTTAGTACTTGGATGGGAGAAACCCAATCATTAAAAAAATTTTTGCCCTGGCTGGTGTAGCTCAGTGGATTGAGCACGGGCCTTCGAACCAGACAATCGCAGTTCGATTCTTAGTCAGGGCACGTGCCTGGGTTGCAGGCCAGTTCCCAGCAGGAGACGCACGAAAGGCAACCACACATTGATGTTTCTCTCCCTCTCTCCTTCCCTTCCCCTCTAAAGATAAATAAATAAAATTTTTTTAAATTTTTAATTATTTTTATTTTTCACTGACAGCATTCAATATTCTAAGAGTTTCAGGCACACAGCAGCGCAATTAGACATTTATATACCTTACAGCTGATGCCCCAGTAAGTACCGCACCCGCTGACCCCCCAGCCATTCTTTGCTGTGGCCCATCCTGCGCGTTGCGGGGTGTTGAGCAGCATGTAAAGGATGTGCCGGCAGCAGTGTGACGGCCAGAGACGTCCCCGGATGGTGCTCACGTCACCAGGGGCACAAAGTCACCCCCTGTGAAGAATCACTAGTTTAGTTCAACCCAAATGTGACTAAAATGCACCTTTTAATTTGTGAAAAAATTAGGCGCGGCCACATCTTTCATGTGAGGTAGACTACTCATTGAAAACAAATCCAGGGTGTTGCCCTGACTGGTGTAACTCGGTGGATTGAATGTGGGCTACGAACCAAGGGTCACGGGTTCGATCCCCACTCAGGGCACGTGCCTGGGTTGTGGGCCAAGTCCCCAGTAGGGGGCGCACGAGAGGCAACCACACACTGGTGTTTCTCTCCCTCCCTCTCTTCCTCCCTTCCCCTTTCTCTAAAAATGAATAAATAAAGTATTTTTTAAAAGAAGTCCAAGGTCTAAACTTGACAGTTCTCTGCTGGATATCAAATCGAGTTCTGTGCGCATCCGACATGCAGCTTCAGACAGCTATGCAACTGATTGCATGTGTAGGTCCCGTGATTATCCCAAATACCCGGGTCCGCAGCAGGCAGCGTGACACAAAATAAAAGGAAATCTTCAAAACACCGGAACATTACATCTGACCGCTCAGTTCAAAGTAATCAATCTCTCTATTGGGAGAAAAGCCAAAATAAGAGGAAAACGCGATCTCCACTGAAGTACTTCTCTTACAAAATGGCAAATGAAATAACCGTGCGACACCTCGCCCTCCCGGCCGACAGGAGTCAGTATACAACGCACATTGTACACGTCAGCAAACTCAAGTTTAAGTGAAGCTTATCCACACCGCAGGCTCCTCCACTGATGTATCTAGTGACAGGCGATCGCATAACCACGTGAGACCTCCTCATCTTTCTGCTGCAGAAACAGGTCGTGAAAGGCTGATGCCACCGCGGTCTGACAACCTGGTCCCATTGAAATGAGGCAAATACAACTCACCGACGCTACTGCTTTTTTCAAAAGAATGAAGTAGGAGGATTTAGGGTCCCGTTTACGAGCCAAATAAATAGATCCTGGATAAAGCACACGTGGCCCCTGGCCCGATGGCTCAGTTGGTTGGAGCATCGTCCCTGTACACCAAAAAGGTTGCAGGTTCGATTCCCAGTCAGGGTACATACCTACGTTTCAGGTTCAAGCTCCAGTTGGGGCACGTACAGGAGGCAACCAATCAATGTCTGCCTGTCTGTCTCTCTCTCTCCCTAACCTCCCTTCCTCTCTCTCTAAAAATCAATAAACATATCCTCAGTCGAGGGTTTAAAAAAACACACCCTTGTAGCATTAGTGAGTTAGTAAGACAAAGCAAAGAATACTCTCCCCATGAACATGTTCTCTGCTGCCTGGGAGCTGCAGGTGTGGGCAGCACAGAACTGCCTTGAACTTGATGCTGAAGCAGAGCCCTGAGGCTGAGCAGCAGTGAGGTTGCAGGCCGAACCAGGGATCCTCACACTGAACCGAGACCCTCGACACGGGCTGAATCCCCCAGTGGACGCGCACACGAGCCCCAAAAGTAGGCACTCAGGAGTCCCGCTGACTAATACCAAGTCACAGAATGATCACCTGGGATGGTCAAGGACACACGAGGACAAACAACAGGAATGAGAAACCGAAGCTGATTTCCACAGATCCCAAACCTGCGGACAGGAGAATTCAGCTACCGATCACAGAAGAGGGGTTCTGTTTGAAGAAAACGGGCTTGAAGATTGTAAAATCCTCCTTGGGAACCAGTCACCACCAGCCTCAGTGAGCTAAGGGGGAAGGTCGTCACCTCAAAAGAATCCTGGAAAAGGTGTAGAACTGCCAAAAATTGGAACAGAATTTTAAACGATCTCTAGTGAACGCAAAGGCAAACAAGGGGATTGAAAATAAAACTATGAAAGGGAAGACTAATAAAGAGATGGTAGGTTTAAATGCCAATGTAAACAGAATAAACATATATTACGTAAAAGGTGGAAATTGTCAGAGCAAATTAAAACTTTGGGTTTTATGCCCAAATCCATGCCATTTGCCAAAGACATTTCTAAACCATAAAGGTGCAGAAAAGTTGAAAGTGGAAGGATAGAAATATATGTACACCTTGCGAATTTTAATAAATGAAAGTTTTATAACTGTTTTTTGGTTCACCCCTAAGAGTTAACAATTCTGAATCCATACAGCCTCACAATATATAAAACATAAATAGAACTACAAGGACAAAATAGACAAATCCACCATCACTTTGGGAATTTGCCAAAGAAAAAAAGAAACATGAGTCAAAAAATCAAAATGGAAACTGAACATGTTTGAATGAATAAAAATGTCAACACAATAAAAATACGTATCACACCTTGGAGGATGCAGCTAAATCTATGCTAACGGGAAATTTGTGGCCTTAAATATCATACTGGAAAATAGGAAACATGAAAAGACAAAAACTAAGCACTGTCTTCAACGGTTACGAAAAAAACACAAGAAACTGAACCAAAAGGAAGTTAAAAAAAATAATAAAATAGAAAGCAAATAGAAAATATTCCATAGAGAGTTAAGACCAAAAATGTATTCACTCACTCACAGGCAACTGATGAATAGAAAGGCCAAGGAGAGGGGGGAGGGGGAGGGGGGGGAGGGGGAGGGGGGGGGAGGGGGGGAGGAGGGGGAGGGGGAAGCAGAGGAGAAGGTGTTAGGAACTGCTCTGCTCTGCTTGGTTTCAGGAGCTGTAACTGCCCCCCATGGCTAAGGCTGAGTGAGCGACCTCCAGAATGAGAGTCGCCACTAAGGAGACA